GCTAAAGTAGTAATTGAATGTAGTAGATGATATCCCATCAATAGTACTATTATATAGTAGCGCTTAAGTAAAAACTATATCTGATAGGTGACTTTCAATTAACAGTAATATTAAATAGTAGAACTAAAGTAGTAAATGTATGTGGTAGGTGACTTTCAATTAACAGTAATATTCAATAGTAGAATTAATGTAGTAACTGTATGTAGTAGGTGACTTTCAATAAACAGTAATATTCAATAGTTGGACTAATGTAGTAATTGTATGTGGTAGGTGACTTTCAATAAACAGTAAAGTTCTATAGTAGCTCTAAGGTATTAACTGTGTGAAGTAAACGACTTTCTGCCAAAAGTAATCTTCTGTTCTAGCGTTTTGGTAGTAACTGCATTTTCTACATGTCTTTCGATAAACAATAATGTTCTATAGTAATGCCAAGCTAGTAACTATATGTGATAGGTGAATTTCTGTCAGCAGTAATATTCTATATCAGCTCTAAGACAGTAACTATATGTGATAAGGGAACTTCTATCAACATTAATGTTTTGTAGTAGTGCTGAAGTGGAAAATATGAGCAGTCAATGACTTTCTATCAATAGCAACATTCATAATAGCACTAAATTAGTATCTGCATATAATAGTTTATTTTCTATGAACAGTAACATTCTGTTGTAGCACAAGGATTACAACTATATGGAGTAGATAACTTCCTACCAATAGAATTTATCTATAGTAGCGTATTGTTGGTAACTGTAGGTAGTACGTGACATTCTGCAAACAGCAAAGCTCTATAGTTGCGCTAAGATAAGTTTCTGTGAAGAGTAATGTTCTACGTTAGCGCTATAGCAACGACTGTATATGGTAGGTGACGTCCTATCAACACTATTGTTTTATAGTAGCGCTAAAGTAGTAGCTGTACGGAGTAGGTGACTTTCTATCTATAGCACTATTTATATTAGCTCTATCAACAGTAATGTTCTATAGTGGCGTTAAAGTATAAACTGTACAGGGCTAGTTCCTTTCAGTGAACAATAATATTCTATAGCAACGCTAAGGTAGTAACTGCATGTTCTAGAGGTGTTTAAATGTAATGTTGTATAGTACTACTAAGCTAGTATTGTTTTGTAATTGTGCTACGTAAGTAATTGTATGGAGTAAGTGACTTTTTGTTAATATATTGCCTATACTAACTGTAATTGTAGTGACTTGATGAGTTCTTATAAATAATAATGTTTATATTAGCACTACAACAATAATGCTCTAGAGCAGTGCTAAGATAGCAACTGTATATGATAGTTGACTTTCAATTAACAGTAAATGTTGTATAGTAGTGCTAAGTTCGTAACTGTATGGATTAGGTGACTTTCTGTCAACAGTAATGTCTTATAGTAACGCTAAAGTAGTAGATATATCTGATAGGTGACTTTCTTTAAGCAGTAATGTTTTATGGTAACGCAACAGTAGTAACTGTATGGTGTACACCATTTCCTATCAATATTAAGTTAAAAAAGCCATTAAGTGAAAGAAACTCGGGGCTTGGAGCTCGAACCCTGGATCTTTGCCTAACACGGCTTTGCTCTGTCAACTGAACTATCCAAAAATACAAACCGTCTCCGTTTTCGCCCATATATCTCTTTCAATATAAATAATAACTTCATACTTCGATGTGTTGTTGTAGTCTGGCACTTAGTGGGTTGATTTATAACCACCCAATAATTGTTAGAAAGTTTAAATTAATTGATTCACAATAGCAATTAAATTGTAGTAACAAATATATGTATGAGTCTAGTTACACTTGTATAATATATACGACGATGTGGTATAACAGCGCGAAGGCAGTAACATATGCTAAATAATGAGAAATAGAAGCGTTTCAACTGAATTATTATAAGTAAAACGTTGTATAGCATTATTGAAAAAGTAACAATATGCAGTAAGGATGTTTTGCTCGGCAAACATGTTTTATAAGGTAATAACTGTGTGTCATAGGTGCATTGAAGTTATCAGCTTCTTCGTTGTACAGTAGCGCTTTGGCAGTAAAACCACTGAGTAGTAATCGTATGTAGTGGGTTTCCTCTGTAGGTTCGCTGTATAGTAGCGGTAGGCCAGTAACTTTATGAATTAAACAATATTTTAGTAACAAGCATGTTATGGAGCAGCCTTAAAATAGACACTTAGTTTTTAGCTGCAAAGTATGCTTATAAACAACACGTAACCTCAATAGACCTGAGATTTTACACGTTTTATGTAACCCTATAGATTATTGATGCCATTTTCAAATCTCCCAAACGTTCTACCTCCATAAAAGGGCAAGGAAATATAATGTTCCGAAATGTCATACTTATCTCCTGATTTTGCCAAAGTCAATTTTACTACGAGCGCACATATGAACACAAGTACACGGATTTATTGATTATCATCACCATTTGTAATCATATTTTAACTCAAGTGAAGAAGACATTCAGAGATTCGAAACATTCGTTTCTGAAATATGTTATTCTCACTTTTCATGGCAGCTTCCCTGAAACTGAGCCCGATGTATCATTCCCATTTCTAGATGAACAAGAATGTCAACATCTTTGGTTCGTTCTGACGTTATCAACTGTTTAAGAAAAAACAGCAATAAAGGTATAAATATGTAGAATGGAAATTATCGTTAAGTACATTGTCGTCTCTTTTCTAGAACTATACCGCCAAATGCCTAGTTATAAGTGTAAATATAAAAAAAATGATAGCTTAGCTCACGAGTTACGTTTAATTGTTTACTTTCTACAGAAACACCAATAATTGCTCTTTAGTGTGAAGTTTAGTCTAACAAATAATTGAAAACGTCACTCTGCAACTTTCTATTATTCACAATATGGTTGCTGTTTCAGTAGTCTGAGCATAGTGGTACAATACACATATCAAGCCATGTAACACATGCATTGATTAATAAAGTAAAACGATAAGATATGTATGTAACACTAATAAGCTGGATGTAATCCTAAACAAAACATTTAATATTTGTAATACTAAACATCCTACTGTTTTGTTGAATTATCTTCTACATTAGGCGTTATGAGTTAAAATGTATGTGTCTAGTTAGTTAGTTGACAAGCGCCGGAATAGAAATGTAGCGAATGTGTGTGTTGAAAGTGATATTATCATTCTTGTGGTATAACTATAGAAAATAAGACGATATAAAACCGGGTCTTATCTTAGTGCAACATCAATAAGATGATTATAATGAATAATACACAGTATACAAACGTTTCTATCTTACTGTGACCACAGCATCAAACTTTTACTTTGATTATGTAAACTTCATTCGTACAGAGAGAATTAATTACAAGTGAACCATTGCGCTTGTCGATGTAATAAAAGCATGACTAAATACATAAGTACGGCTATAACAGTTTCCCAATGTTAAATATATATACATTGGCTACTTTGTAGAAGTCTGTACCTATAAGGAAACAACACTTTTACAGGGAGAAACTAAGCATCATCTTCATGATTAATCGAACTGGTGTATTTAAGTGTTTTACACTCACAAGAAATAAACCTATCATTATATAGGTATTTGAAGAATTTGTAGCATTTTTCCACAATTCAATTCTTCGTATTGTTAATTGGCACTGGGCAGCTTGTACATTGTTGAATAAATAGAGTTGTTTCAACATTTGTTTAACAACAAGTAAAAGCTTGGAATGGTCTATTTTTCATTGGGCTGTTTGTGTCTGTGAGCCAGACTAGTTTCGGAGAATTCTAGTCTGGCTCACAGACACACACCTCAATGAAAGAATA